ACTAAAGAACCAGAGTAAAATTTTTGCCTGAAATGGTTTTTTGTATCAAGTGTATCACCAGTCTTTTTGTTTTAGGCGTATTATGGATGAGTAATTCTATACAGAGATATTAAAAAAATATCTCCCAGAAGTGCGCAATATATTACGGGAAAATTGGCGATTATAGCAAGACAATAATCTTAAACATACTAGCAAAGTAGCTAAAGAAATTTTTGCTAGAATAAGTCCCAGCCGTTATGGATTGGCCCTCTAATAGTTCAGACCTAAATTTTATTGAAAACCTTTGAGTAATTGTTAAAAGGACATGGAGTTGCGTAGGCCAAAAAATATTAGCGAATTAGAGTGTTTTTTAGGAGATTAGTAGAGAAATATTTCAAATAGCCTTCTGTAAACCCAATGCCACAGCGTTGTAATAAGGTTATTGAGAAAAATGGTTAACAAATATTATATTAATTTTTTTTAATAAAATCTATCACTTCTCAACTTTAAAATGACATATTATATGTTTTAATTGATATATGATTGTGTAATAATCGTAATTTTAAAAATTGTCATTTTCACTGCATATCACTATATATTTAGCTAATAGATCTGTTATTGATCATTACTAATAAAAATATTTTAATATCTTTCTAAAGTTTTGATATATAATTTTTTTTTTGTTTATTAATTGTTGATGATGAATTTAATGCATTTTTTTTTCCTATTAAATTCTATATTTCTAATATAAGTACTATTCAAATCTTTTGCTACTACTAAGGTTACTTGTTTAAACTCATTTTGGATTTGGCAAAATGGTTAAACCTTTAGTTTTGCTAATTTTTTACTAAGTATTTGATATATTTTGCCATTTTTATAAGCTTTGATATAGTTTTACCTTTTTTCAAATTTTGCAGATTTTTTAATAAGGTTTTAATATAATTTAACCAAGTTTTACTTTTACCATTTAGACATCTATCTAAACTCTTGATTTTGTCTAGCAACCTTAGCTATTACTGTAATATGAAATCTATCTATTAAATTATATGTTATTCTAATATATATTTTATAGTATAAGCTATTTAAAATAATAAAAAATTAGGTAAGTCTATAATTAATTATAGATAATTTATATTTAATACTTACGGAAATATGATATAAATCAATTATTATTTTTGTTTTTCAAGTCTAAGAAATAATTAACTTCATAATTCTATATTATGCCAATCATATTAATATGATACAATTGCTATTAATTCACTATTATGATAATAAGATTCATTATCAGAAATTATTTGAATCCATTTAGATTTTTTAATATTTGTAAATACAACTTTATAATAAGATACTATAAATCACACGTTTTGTTTTATATTCATAGATAATAATTATATACTTTAATATTCAACTTATTTTTATTTCTTTTAAAATAAAAAAAAGAATTATATGCAATGTCTAACCACATTTGCTGTTTGATTGCATGGTAAAATTATTAAAATTATATTTTATAATTTGCAATCATAACAGCATTATTATAATTAAGATTTTATAAGTAGCTTTAAATTGATTATTTAGGTATAATTTTTGTGTATGATATGCTGAAAAGTATTTTAATTATTTTTGTATTTTATTAATTTTTCTAATCGATCTTTTTTAACTTTTTTTTTTAGATAATTAAAAAAAATCAATACAATTTTATAGTATATATTATGAATTTTTTGATATTCATTAAAAGCATATAATAAGTAGTGGTTAATATAAGGATTATGTTTGATTTTTCTATTTTCTTCAATTACTAATTCTCATTCAAAATTCTTTTAAGATATTTTCATAAAAATTCAATTTTAGTATTTATAGAATTTTAATTATATAATATTAGTTTAAATTTGTATTTTTAATAATAATCAAACTAATATACCAATAATTTTTTTTATAAGAAAGTTTATTTTGCTTAAAGATAAGTACTATAATTAAAAAAAAATAGTGCAATTGAGTTGCAATTCGTGGCGTAATTAAATTTCCTTATGATACAATTAAGTTGCAATTCAATTGAAATTTAAAAATAATTATGGGAATCATCTTTATCTAGAACCATATAATCTTATATGCTTTTAAGCAAGATTGATAGTATTTGGACTTATCTGTTTAAAAAATTGTGATAAGTTAAATATATATATTAGAATAATACTTATTTGAAATTATTCTTGAAATTCTGAATAAGTAAATTTTTTAACTATAATAAATAATATATAAATTCTTTCATATTTTCATATTTATTAGTATTCCAATATGCATTATGAAAGTTATTCTAGAATATATTTTTATAATTATTATTGCTGATAATTTTTGGAGTACAGTCATCCTCCTATATAGTTACCTCTTATATAATCATACCTTCTCTTTAATCACATTGATCTACAGTCCCAAATTTTTTTATATATAAATGACTCCTATATAGTCACAAACATATTATAATCACTATCACATTAAAATAAAGTCCAAATATAATATTTATTTAAGAGATTTTCTCTTTTTATAATCACATCACGTGATATTTAAATATATAAAATAAATGAAATGAATGATAAATGTGTTTTTTCATAAAAATTTTAATTATGCCACCAACTCGTTCTATAACAACTTTACAAAAAAAAAAATAGAACAGCTATTATTATAGATATAAAAAAAGAAATTTGTGAATATATATCAAGTAATCTTTATATAACTCAAGTAAATGTTGCAACATTTTTTAATACAAAATATAATTACTTAAATATTGATAGAATAACTATTAGTAAAATGTGGCAAAAAAAGGAAAAGTGGTTAAATATTCAAGCAAGTTCTCAAAGTTTACAAATATATAAACAACGTTCAGTTCAGTTTCCAATATTTGATAAAGTAATGCAAATTTGGACTTCACAAGTAGTAACAGCTAGAATTCCATTAACTGATATGATATTACAACAAAAAGGTTTGGAGTTTGCAAAGAAATTAAATATTGAAAATCAAGTAAAATGTGGAAATAGATGGATTTATAAATTTAAAATAAGAAAAGGACTTAAAAAAGTAAAATTTTCTAGAGAGGCAAATAGTGCATCACTTGAAACACTTTCACAAGAAAGAATAAAGTTACAAGAATTATTAAATAAATATGATAAAGAAAATATTTATAATGCAGATGAGACTGTACTTTTTTTTTGTATGGAACCTAATCAAACTCTTAGTATAAGTACAATAGCAGGACATAAAAAAGTGAATTTAAAAATATTATAAATTTTAAATTTATTTTAATTGATTTATTATTTATTTTGTTATATAATTATTAATTATTTAATTAATTTATTTTACTTTATTTTATTTTATAGGATAAAAATCAAATATCAATTCTTTTTTGTACAAATGCTATAAGAACTCATAAAATTCATTCTTTTGTTATTGAAAAATCATTAAACTCCGATGTTTTAAAATTTTTAATAGATCAGCATTACCAGTGACTTACAAGGCTAATTCTAAAGCATGGATGAGATCAGATATTTTTATTGAGTGGTTGAATAATCTTGATTATTATTTTTGCATACTAGATAAAAAAATTTTACTTTTGATTGATAATGTTAGGTCTCATTTCAATCCTAAAAGTTTGAAGAAATAAATGAAGAAAAAAGTGAAAATGATTCAGATAATGATCAAGAATCAAGTCAAAGTTCTAACAAAAAACAACAACAAAAAAAAAAAAAATATTAAACTTACTAATATTGAATTAGTATACCTTTCACCAAATACTACAGCTCATTTTCAACCTATGAATGCAGGAATAATTCATAGTTTTAAAGTAAAGTACAAGCAGGAATTTTGTAGAAATATAATTCGTCAATTTGATTCTGAAATTGATTATGTAAAGTAGGTATTAATTATTAGTTGCTTTTATTAAAAAATCTTATTATATATAGTATTAACTGCTATAAATAGCTGTAAACAAATTTCTGATATTATATTACCACTTGTATAAATAAATCCTGGTTGTAGTAGATTGTTTTCATTTATACTATGGTTATGAGAAATTGCTGTTTAATATACAAGTTATTTGCATATGTAATCAATAAGGTATGAAAAAAAACAAGTAATATTATTACCTTCATTTTCTATAGGTTTGAAAATCTACCAATCCCTTACAAATATTCTATAGTGTAATTCAGAACGTAATACACCTTCAATCAAAGTAACTGAATATTGGTATGGTTTTTCATTTTTTACTAAAGAAGTTTTTGCCATTCAAAAAAAAGAATTTTTATTTAATTATATGTATGTATATTGTCAATCATTTTATATCACTGACTCACAAATCGGCAATTAATGAACTTTGTTAATTATTGATGAAATTATCTCCGACAAATTTCGCATTCAAAGGTAATACATATTGTCAATGGAAGAAAATGTACAAAAAAAAGTTGATTTAAATCAATATTAGAAGGACAAATCAAATATTTTGCCTATCCTTTCAAAGATTGCTTTAATATAATTTCTCGTTTCTGATGTCGATGTAGAACGTTCATTTTCAAATTATAAATTTATATTATAGAACACCGATATAAATTAATTTACTGTTCTACGAACCGTTATGGTCACTGCGGTTGAAAAAAATAACGAATAAAAAGCTTTACATGTGATCTGCCAGTTTTCAAGAAACAATGCATGAATACAGGAGATAAAAATATTAAAGTCACTCGGAGAAGAAACATACCAATTTTTTTTTAAAATTAAAAATTAAAACAAAAACAAAAAAGTTTAGATTTAATGTTCATATTTGCAAAACAAAAAGATATTGTAAGAACCACAGGTTCCCACAGCTCCAACAATTGTGACGACAGGATAAGATAGATAATTCATTTTCTTTTTCCTTTTAATGTATAATTAATTGGTGTTTACTGAGACGCGCTCGATCGACAATCCAAATGAAATCGATAATTTATAATTTTTTTTTTTTTTTTTATGAATTTTCACTAACGATCCTTGACAATTTCAAAATGCTGCTTTATTTAACCTCTAAATATTTTTTTCCCACGTCAAAGTTCTTCTTACCTTTAAAGAAGTTTCCAAACATACTTTTTTCAAATAATTATTATCAAAAATCCAAAAATTCTTTTCTTAAAAATAATAAATTTTATTCTACGTTACGATTAAAAGATACTATTTATGCGTTATCAACCGCTCAAGGAAAGGCCGGAATTGCAATTATACGCGTTTCTGGCTCTAATGCTTTACAGGTTGTTTTGATTTCATGTTCTGAAATTCAACAAAAAAAAAAAATTCTTAATTTTAACTTTCCGGAATTAATTTAAGGCCATAGAAGATATAACTGCAGACTTTTCTGAAAAACCAGTTCCTCGTAAAGCCACGTTAAAAACAATTATTCACCCGAAAACTAAAGAAGTAATTGACCACGGGTTAATTTTATGGTTTCCAGGTATATCCTAAATTAATGTTCACAGTTTGTCCGAATTATAATTTAATTTAATTCAATTGTCAGGACCAAAAAGTTATACAGGCGAGAATTTAGTTGAATTTCATATACATGGTGGTACTTCTGTCGTGAGAGGTGTATTAGACGCGCTAGGGAATATGGAAAATTTCAGACACGCAGAAGCTGGTGAATTCACGCGTAGGTACATAAATAATTCATCATCATTGTCATCATTCATCATTATTATTATCTCAAATGATTAATTAGGATTGAATATCTTAAAGGGCTTTTGAAAATGTTAAATTTGACTTGACGGAAATTGAGGGTCTTGCCGACTTGTTAAATGCAGAAACCGAAGCTCAGAGAAGACAAGCATTACGTCAGGTTCAGGTACGCAAAATATGCGTAATATAATTTGCGTTTGGTGCTTACATATTCATTTTAATTTCGATTTATTAAGGGTGGATTGAAAATTTTATATGAAAATTGGAGAAAGCAATTAATTAATAATATGGCTTCCATAGAAGCTATTATAGACTTTGGTGAAGATGAAAATATTGAAGATGGAGTTTTTGAAAAAGGTAAATTTATATCATTCTTGTTTCTTTTTTTTTTTTGTTGAAAATGTTTGATTGCTGATATTTAATTACTAATAGTAGCGGAAAATGTAAAACTTTTGAAAAATGATATTATCGAACACTTGAACGATAATCGTCGCGGGGAAATCTTAAGAGATGGTATACGCGTTACAATTTTAGGACCTCCAAATGTTGGCAAAAGTAGTTTCCTGAATTATTTAGCTCAAAGAAAAGCCGCTATCGTATCACATATTCCCGGAACCACACGTGATATCGTCGATATTTCTTTGGATTTTGGAGGGTATCCAATTATAATCAGCGACACTGCAGGTTTAAGACCTTCGGATGATGATGTTGAAATTGAGGGAATTTCAAGGGCAAAAGATCGGTAAAACAAACAAAAAAAATTTACTTTTATTATTTGTTAAATGAAAAATCTATTAACAATTTCCATTCATAATTAGGATAAAAACAGCCGATATCAAAATAATAATTCTTTCCAGCTTAGAATTGTTGCATTCCATAAAATCCAATCATAATTATTTCTCCAATATAGATTCAATTATTAAGGATACTGTGGATGACAACACATATCTAATTATTAATAAAAGCGACCTCGTAGAAAACAAATCCGATTTATCGAAATTAAAACAAATATCTCTAAAATCTATTCCTGTAAACTATGTTTGGTGCTTATCGTGTCTCTCAGGAGAAGGATTCAATGAGTTTCAAGAAACATTTATAAACTCCATTAAACAAAAGTAAGGATCAAACTCTACTGTATTTATATATTTTGTGTCAAACAATTCCCGTGTTTTAATATAATTCTATACAATAACTAGATATGATTCATTATCTTCTCAAATCGCTTTAATCACTCAAGCTCGACACCGTGAGCACTTAAGCGATTGCCTAAAATCACTAGAAAACTTTCTTGGTATTTAAAATTTAATTATTATGTGCTATTCAACAAATTCTTAATATTGTATTGACATGTTCTTTATTTTGCACATATAGAACTCAATGATTTGGTATTGGCTGCTGAAGAATTAAGGTTTGCAACTCATGCTTTAGGAAGAATTACAGGTCGAGTTGATGTTGAAGAAATATTAGGAGTTATATTTCAACAATTTTGTATTGGAAAATAAAGTCCATTAACAAACAAATATCACTCTAATATTTTTGGTTCTCTTTCCCTTTCAGCAATTTCTTTTTCATTAGTTAATCTTTCTATTTTTTCTATCTCTTCTTCCGTACAAAGTGTTTCTACTTGTCTTGTTGCCAAAGCAGTATTATGATTAACTTTTTCTAATTCCCATAATGATTTATTAAGTTCTCTTTGTGATTTTCGAACACCTTCATTTAATTTTAACTCTGCCTCTCTCAATCTTTGTCCTTCTGCTTTGATTTGTGCCAACTTTATCAATTATAATTGAGAATTAATTAAAATATATATAAATGTAAACTAGAATTGTTGTAAGCAGAGCAAATTTTTACCTTTTCTTCGAGCACTGGTGCATAAGCGGGAATTTGCACAGGTTTTTGGGGATGTGAAAAATTTGGAGAACGATTAGATGCGGGTGGAAATGGAGGTCCAGAATATGGGCGTTGATGTTGATGTTGATGTTGATGTTGATGTTGATGTTGATGTTGTTGTTGTTGTTGCATAGAATTTCCTCTTGTATAATTATTGTAATTAGAAGGTCCATAATCTCGACTGGGTGGCCTAGGATATGAATTGTATGAATGTCCACCACGATAAACTGGTCTTCTTTCATAAGATTGAAGGGGAGATATTGGAGGTCTCCCGTATGGTTTTTGATCTCTTGTATTTCCACCATATGAAACTTGACCTCTGTATGCCGATTCTTCTTCTCGTTCATTATATCTACCTAGAAGCATTTGTGGTGGTTCTCTCATTTGATAATCTGAATGGCCACGAGAAGGTATGTAATGAGAACTAGAACCGTAATTATCTCTTTCGGAGGAATAATGATTATAAGGATTAGTACGATGAAGTGTGAGATCCCTTGGTCGGTTATAGTTTGGTGGGCTTCTACGTTGATCATTAGTTCTATCCATTTTCTTATTCTTTTTTTAAAAAAAAAAGAGTAAAGTAGTAGATCAAAAAGAAAAAAAAAATTTATACCGATACTGCATGTATTACTGTGGATAAATAATTATCCGGTAGTAATAACTGGTAATTTTAGTTACGTTTATACATTTATTAATTTTGTAAGTTTAAAGTTTTTTAATTAATATTTTACATTTAACCTTTATATTTTATCTTTTAACAGTTAAAGTATTAAAAGATAAAATATTAAATATTATTACTAATAATCAACAAGTCAATGATAATGTTTCTATTCAATTATTATTTTTACTAATTAAAATATCATAAATAAGTTTGCAATTTTTTTTTGTTTTATCTGTTTTATCATCAAATAATATTAAAAAAATAATATTCATATTATTATAAACAACCTATTAATAAGTAAAACATACTAAATTTTAATACAAGTATTATATAGTTTAAATAAGGCATAATTTTTGCTATAGGTATTTATTTCAGATAAATTTAAAAGTTCAAAGCTTTTTAGAAGTCTAAAATAAAATATTATAAAGTTAAATATATATTATGCTTTATTATAAAATAATTTATAGATGATTAAAGATAATCAATTATATAACAAAAGATTATTATGTAAATACAAAAATATAATTATATAAATTACATAATATTTATGAATTGCATAATATTTTGTAATTGTTATTTTTTATATTTATTTCAAATTATATAAATATAAAAAATATTAAAAAAATACTAAATATAAATAGATTATGAAAATATAAAGTCTCAAAATATAAAGTTATTAATTATTCTCATATTTATATTATATTAAACAAAAAAAAAGTGTGAATAATTATGTAAAAATTATATGAAAAATAGTATGATAATTCATTTCAAATTTGATAAAAATATAGTTAAACATTAGGTTAATACAAGTATAAACTGAATAGATAAAGTATGCAAAAGTTAGTTCTATACTTGGTATGGTAATTATTTTAATTAAGTATATACGTAATATGTAATTATGGTAATTAATTACCATTTTTTTTAAAAAAAACATAATTGCAAAATTAATTATAGAGGTAGTAATTAATTACAAGAACATAGTTATTACAGAGGTGATAATTAATACTTATAGACATAATTAATTACGTCTATAGTAATTAATTTTGGAAAACATAATTAATTGTAGGGTGGTAATTAATACTTGTAGATAGGGTTGGGAAGTACAGTATTAGTATAATGATTAGTACAATTAGTACAGTTAGTATAACATAATAAATAGGGAAACAGGAACTGTTGTTAAGTCCAGAGCTTCTCACAAGTTACACATGATCATGAACGGAATTAAAAAATGATCAATTGCAGACTTCAACATATTAAGAATTGTAGAAGATTACAGGAAAAAAAGTCTATAATACCTTGAAAATGAACAATAAATTTACATCAACAACACTTAAATAATAACAAAAAAAATAATTCAACGAACGAAAGGGTTACGTTTATATTGTTTATGTTTATATTTCATTTTATTTATTCTAAACGATAATAATAATTGATAAATTGATCCATTTGACAAAAGAAAGAATACGAAATTGTAATAAAATAAAAATTTTTTTATATTTATTTCTTTTTGAAAGATTATTTTAGATATTAGATATGACTTTTATTAGGATAGATATTTACCTAAATTATTTAGAAATTAGTGTAACTGTATAACTGTCTCATGATATGAGGAGCGGGAGGACAACAGGATATAGCGTATAGACATATATAGTCCTTCGCTAACGCTTCAGACTAATTAATACAAAAATTAGTATAAGTATACAGTCAAACCTTGATATAGCGAACCCTTGATATAGTGAATTTTTAAATCAAATATATTAAAATTACCTTATTATAGTGAACTAGCC